ATATATATATATGTATAGATAGATAGATAGATAGATAGATAGATAGACAGACAGACAGACAGACAGACAGACAGACAGACAGACAGACAGACAGACAGACAGACAGACAGACACACATACATACATACATACATACATACATACATACATACATACGTACATACCGGATTCCAAAAAAGTTGGGACACTAAAGAAATTGTGAATAAAAACTAATTGCAATGATGTGGAGAAGGCAAATGTCAATATTTTATTTGTAATATAACATAGATGACAGATCAAATGTTTAATATGAGTAAATGTAACATTTTAAAGGAAAAAATATGTTGATTCAAAATTTCACAGTGTCAACAAATCCCAAAAAAGTTGGGACAAGTAGCAATAAGTGGCTGGAAAAAGGAAATTGAGCATATAACGAACAGCTGGAAGACCAATTAACACTAATTAGGTCAATTGACAACATGATTGGTTATAAAAAGAGCGTCTCAGAGTGTCAGTGTCTCTCAGAAGCCAAGATGGTAAGAGGATCACCAATTCCACCATTCGGCGCAGAAAGATAGTGCAGCAATACCAGAATGGTGTTACCCAGCGTAAAATAGCAAAGAATCTTAAGTTATCATCATCAACCGTGCATAACATCATCAAAAGATTCAGAGAATCTGGAACAATCGCTGTGCGTAAGGGTCAAGGCTGTAAAATTCTTCTGGATGCTTGTGATCTCCGGGCCCTTAAACATCACTGCACCTGAAACAGGAATGCCACTGTCAAGGAAATAACAGAATGGGCTCAGGAATACTTCCAGAAAGCATTGTCAGTGAACACAATCCACAGTGCCATCCGCCGTTGCCAGCTGAAACTCTACAGTGCAAAGAGGAAGCCATTTCTAAGCAAGCTCCACAAGCTCAGATGTTTGCACTGGGCCAGGGGTCATTTAAAATGGAGTGTGGCAAAAATGAAGACTATTCTGTGGTCAGATGAGTCACGATTTGAAGTTCTTTATGGAACACTG